AAAGATATTGAACATGAAGAATTATGACACAGAAATAACATACTGGCCATGGAAAACCTGATGAGAAATCAGCAGAAGTTGAGTCATTCAGTTATTCAGCAAAAATCAGACAGTGTCAGAGAGGAATTAGTGCAAAGCTGAGAGGAGCCGTAGATCTCTCCTCCATAGAGGCGGTTGCTTAGCTCCCTCACACTGCACTGCAGAGATGAGAAAATAATTTCATTGTAAAATTACTCAGGCGTAATTTTCAAAACCTAGAGGAAGTGTTCTGCGCTAATCATTTCCTTAGCAAATTATTAACCAGATGATGAGGCAGGCAGGCACAGCAAAGCAAGTTACCCAGGACTGGTGTGCTCTCTTGTGGGTGCATTGTTCTTGTTATCTGATAGCTAAAGTCACAAGTAATTAGTACACTGATTTTCAATGTCTCTAGGCAAGAAAGCCAATGCTTTGATAGAAGTACAGAAGTACAGCTTAGAAGTACAGAATTGCAAAGGTTGGGAAAGCCCTCTAATATCATCTAGTCCAACCATCAACCCATCCCAACTAACCCTTGTTCAAGGGCCACATCTACACAGTCCTTGAACAATTCCAGGGATAGAATGGAGACATCAGAAGATAAATGTAGAGATATTTGCAGGTGAGATGGCCACTGATGGAGGAGCTTCCGTTTGCCTTGACGTCTGTGGGAGATTTCTGAAGTGAGAGCACTGGGAGGAAGGGCACATGGGGAGGTTTCATGTCAGGTTACGTGCATTAGCCCCCCAGCACTGGGTCCATACAGCTGCTGCTCACCAGCCCATGGTCCCTACCGGATGTGATGGCAGGAGCAAGACTTCTCCACATCTGCTCTAGAACATAGTGAAAAGTGTCACATAGCTGTGACATTTCCTGTTTTAACAGGAGGAGGCCACACTGAGAGGCCTAAAGGTCAATGTATAAATATATCACAGTCTCACACATTGAAAAATGCTGGTGGAGTAATTTGAACATAGCCACATATACCTTGGGTGTTGCCACATACTTTGTACTGCATGAGTCCATCAAGTAGATAAGCACCAAAGAAACCAAAGAAACCTGTATGACTGCACTGAACTAGAGTAGAAGGTGACTGTGGACAAGGAAGGCAAGTCTTATTAAATATTGTTTTGTGTATGTGCAGATATATCTGATGAATTCCAGCAGTGTGCAGAGCACAGTCGAGCCTGCAATTCTGCACTGAGCAACGGCCTCTGGTAAGCGCAGAAAAGACAACTGGAAGAGAAGCTGCACATCTTACCTCCTGTGTAAGTAAAAGCATTTGCAGGTCAGATGTGGAAATTATTTGTGTGGTTAGTTCTGCCGCCTTCAGAGTTGTTGGAAGGAATGAGTGCAGAGTACACTTTTGGTGATCCAAGAATTTACTTGTCTGGGGATCTCATCAATAAAACGCTACTAGTACTCAGAAAATCATAGAATCATTTAACTTCTAAAAACCTTCAAGATCATCAAGTCCAACTATCAGCCTGGCCTACCGAGCCCCATCATTAAATCACAACCCTAAACACCACATCCACGTGACTCGTAAATAATTCCAGGGATGACAGTCTATGGGAAGCTTGTTCTGATGCTTGACCGTCATTTTTCTGAAGAAATTATGTCTAATGTCCAATTTAACGTGCGCTGGTACATCTTGAGACATTTTCCTCACTTTGTCACTAAGAAAAAAGACTAGCATCTGCATCCTGCAACCTCCATTCAGGGAAATATAGAGAGTGATGGGGCCTCCCTTGGCCTCTTCTTCTCTGCTAAACAGCCTGGGTTCCCTTTCATACCGCAGTTTTCCAGTCTTGTCACCAGCTCCACTGCTCACGCTCAAGCAACTCAATATCCTTTTTGTAGTGAGGAGACCAAAACTGAACACAGTACTCGAGGTGAGGTCTCTCCAGTGCTGCGTGCAGTCACCTCTCTAGTTCTGCTGACATTATTTCTGATAGAAGTCAGGATGCCATCAGCCTTCTTGGCCACCTGAGCACAATGTAGGCTCACATTCAGCCAGCTGCCAACCAGCACCCTCAAGTCTTTTTTTGTCTGAGAACTTTCCAGTTGCTTCCCCAAGCCTACACCACTGTATGGGTTTGTTGTGACCTAAGTGTGGGATCCATCACTTACCCTCTTTACCCACCTCCTCTCTTCTCTTCTCTGAGTGCTTTCCTTAAAAAGCCTTCGTAGACAGCAAGAAGGATCGTCTGTGATCGTAGGGGCAATAGTGCATAGAAAACATCTGCTTCGTTCCTTTTCTGCAGCCCTCTGGAGCTCAAATCATCACTGGGACTGCTGCTGACAGGAGCTCTTCTCCCATTTGTGCCTACACTCCAAAGCAGCCCAAGAGCGATAACTGTGGTCCATGGTCTTTGAAGCTTTTGGAGGAACCGATGTTGACAAACTTGTATATGTGAAAGTTAAATCCACATTGTATCTGCTGATTTTATTGCAAATGGTATTCTTTTAATTGACTAAACTGCATTAACAATTCTGCAAGATCTGAATGCACAGGAAAACCTGCACATATGTAGTGTCCTAACAATAACAGTTCTTTAGCATCTAGCTTATTACAATGCAGAAGTAAATCTTCCTTCTTGCAGTAAAACTATCATGATTAAATTAGTTAAAGCTGGACATGCCTCCTAATTCTTCTTGCTGATCAGATCTGCCTTCTTAAAAAAAAAGAGATTTTTGTAAGAGCTATTACACTATAATTGGTATTTTGCGTGTTCTTAGGCTTTTTTTCTCTCTCTATTTGTTTTATTTTGTTTGGACTCAGTGAGTTTTGCCTTTTTGGCCTCAGTGTGCTCACTGCTGTGACTCATGTATTCCACAGCTACTGCCAGATCTCTGGGCCCGACACTGCAATTATTACATTAGGACCTGTCAGTGCAGCCCTGACTTAATAAATAGGGCAGAGATTAGAATCACTGATTGATCTGCTCCATGGTTTTGGACACTCGCATCTGAGATGAACAGTGGGCCTGTGGATATTTAGGGTTGGAAATGTCAGCATTGCAGATTAGAATAGTATTAATTAGATATTTTACGTATACCAGCTGCTACGTATTGTGAGCATTCTGATAATCTGGTGGATTTGATAATTGCTGGGGCCGTGCAGCAAGGGGCTTTTCATGTGAAACTCAGGGTCCTTCAGGAGTGCAACAAATGCACTGCAGTCCTGGGTGAGCACTCTGTCCCATAGGACAAGACCAGGCCTGATCCAAAGGAAGAAAATCCCCGAAGCGTGTAGATGCTCAGCACCAGCCTTCCCACTCTACATCCAGAGGTAACAAACAGTAACACACTCCAACACCTCAGTGAACTGAAGCAACAACCCTCTGAGCTAGTGCTGCTGCTAGCGGTTCTTCACCCTATAGCTTCCTCCATGCCCAGAATCTCTTCCTGATAATGCAGAACTGAGCAAGAGGGTGAGTGTCAGGTGGACTGGGATGTGCAATGTGGAGCACCTAAGTGCTTCAGTCCTGTACAACTGAGCACATAAGTGCTTCAGTCTTGAGGCAGCACCATGCTAACAAGGTGGACCAGCCCCAGTCTGGCAGCTACCCCAGGAGACAGACCTGTAGTGCTGACTGCTCCTCTTGGCTATGGGAATGATGCAGAGATATGGCATGCTGTGTATGACTGTTCCATGGCTGTTGGTGGCTGCTCCACCATAGAAACAAACACACTGCATCGCCACTACTGCTCTGCTTTTAAAACGGACCTCTAGGATTTCTGATCCATAGAAAAGCTTGAAAACACAAAGATTATTTTAAAGGCCAACAAATAAAAAAACTTGATTTAAGAAAATTTTCTTTCAAAATGAAATTTCATTATTCTGATTCAGAGGAATCAGGTATGAAAACTTACTATGTAATTCCAAGTTATTACGATGCCTTGCATTAACCATGCTGTGAACACAGATGGCTATATGATCAACATGGATGTTTAAATTTTCTTCAGAACCTGCTTGGGTAAGAACTTTAGGGTCCATAGCCTGACAGGTACAGCAACAAGCTAAGAAATTGTCCTCCTTGTATTCAGCCTCACTCTCATCTCTTGAAAATAAACATCTGTTTAATTTGTGCCCATGAACAGGGGCAATATTAAGATAGCTTCAAAGTTAAGAAATTTTATACTGGAGTAAGCTGTATTCTCTAGTCTGCTCTGAATCAACCGCAAATCACATGCTGACAAAACAGAAGTGCTCGTTCAAAACCCAAGAACGGGGATCTTGTCTATTCAAAATATAATTTTCTCCTCATATCAACATGTTCTAAATTCAAAATTCCTTTCCAGGAAGATCTGAATGCTGCATGAGCACAGAGCCATCCTGCAGTGTCATATTTTACACCATATCAAGCTCCTTCCTTACCAGAGCATTTGGTGGATAAAAGCTGCACAGACTGAAATGTGGAAGGCAGTCTTCATCCTACTGTGTCTCCTTTTCTTGCATTCATCCATGAAGAAAATGAGCTGCCAGGCTGCAGATCTGGCTTTCCTGAGCTATCTGTTGGTAAAACAGAATGACTCTACATCTACCTGAAACTCTGAGGCATGCCCATATAAACTGGCATAGTCAGGAGGGAAATCTGTGCTAACATCATTATGTCCAACATAAACTGAAGATTAGGGCATCTAACTCAAACGTAGCATTTTGCTTCATTTAGACTCAAAAAGCGAGCTGATGGTTCTGAAGTGCTTTCAGACTTAGGGACACATACATTTTTTTAAGAATGGCTTATTTTTATCTTTGGCACCTCAACCTATTTGCACATTAGGGAGCACAAATAGCTTTGAGACTGCAGGTGATCCTTGCTTAGTGGCTCTGGGTTGTTAAGTAGCCTCTGTGTTCAGAGACACAAGGAATCCTCCCCATCCTTGTCAGGCAGGAATCTTCCCAAGCATTCAAAATATTTTTCTCAACTTGAAAGGATTATCAGGGATTTCCCACTGAGTCTCAAAGGCAGTCATATATTTTATTTGTTTTATTACAAGGCATGTAAGTAAAAACTTGCATATCTGAAAAAAGATATTAGATAGAAAACAGTAATAAAATTAACATTATTCTTTAAGAAACTTGGTAATAAATACATTTCCCCTCAACATTAAAATGCTTGTTATTTTGCACAACAATAAATACAGCATAGCTCTGGCGTAGAGAAAGGCCAAGACTGGATACAAGAAGTCCGTGTGGTTTCTTAAAAAAGCTCAGGTGATTTATAAAGGTTTGGCATCCTGCACTTGATGTACTTTGATTAAGCTTGTGCTTTAATTTTATTTTGACTATGAATTTTAAACAGGCCCCTAACATAGAAATATGAGAGGAAAATTTATTTGACTATAGGATTTTTCCTTTAAATATTTTCAAAGTAAGAGATGTGTGAACTCATTGAAACCAATCCTTGAAATAATAAAAAGAAGTGTTTGGATGGCTATTCTACAACAATGCATATTTTCAGCTGTGGGTGCTCAAGCCTGACCAGCCAATTGGCGAGGGATCAATGCCTAGTCAGTTCCTCAATTCTTTACACAATTTTCAAAAAAGAAAAAGGATAAAAATTAAACAAGTAATTACAGTGAGAAAGAGTAAAGAGCATAGTATTCACTTCCCAAGTCATGACAGTTTGAGGTTCATAAGCTATTATCCAAAGGTGAGTGGAGAAGAAATAGGTATATTCCGGAATGCTCTCCCAGCACAATTTTGGATCATTCAGGTTTATACTTTTCTTATAAAACTACCAAAGAAAATGAAAGAGAGATATTTCCATGCACTGTGCTGTTCTTATGTCAGCACGTATCATCACAATCACAACTGTGAATCTAAGTCATTTTCATAGCCCAATCTAATATAGATTATTTCCCACAACAGAGTTCGATAATGTCCACAAAATGCCACAAGCTCTGGCAGAGTCCAACGTTCTTAAAGTACCGATAGGTCATGACAAGACTTGGACTTGAGTTTGAAGGCCATGTTCTTGTTGTTCTTGGCAACTATTTTGCCCCAAAACCGCCTGGCTTTCTTCGGGATGCTCTCCCTCCGTTTCTGGTAAGCCAGCCGCTTCTCGTTCTTTTCCTTGCTGTCCCTCCTGAGCCGCACTTGCCTCACGATGCCTTCAAAGAGCTCTTTCACGTTGTGCTGCACGGCTGCCGAGGTCTCGATAAACTTGCAGTCAAACACAACAGCGCACGCTCGGCCCTCTGCAAAATCACAACGGGGATCGGTCATGAAATGCCATGAACCAGAAGGAAGCAATATGGCTGTGGGCTGTCACAAGGGGGTAGCCAGTGGCACCAGGGGAATCCCTCAAGCCTAATATAGCTGTGGATAAGTCTTTAATCATCTAATGCTGCCTTGTAGGCTATGATTCATCTGTTCTGTGTCACAATCCCCTGGCAATGAGGGAGGCCAATCTCCTGAAGAAGGCTGGTTCTCACCAGTGGCTGTGAAGGGAGGGAGCTGGCTGACATGCACTGACGGGGTGGAGACGTCAGCCATGACTCAAAATCACCTGGTCATCATACGAGCAGACTTCCACAAGTCACGTTAAAGGGTGACAGCAGCGCTCCTCATGAGCCCAGCACAGCTCTCATTAGCAGAGGAGGCAGGGCCCAAGCACCCTCCATAGACCACGTGTACAATCCAGGGTCTTCAAACAACACCAGACTTGGTGTGAACAGTCACAAGTACCAAATCCTTAAAGGCAGAACTGTGTCCATAACTTCAGAGATATATCTGAAATCACAGTTCTTATCTCAAACTGTTTAAGTATAAACTAGCCCTGGCAGATGTCTTTAACATGCAAGCCAATTCATGCTGTCTTCTAACTTGCTGGAAACTCATTGCCAGGAAGGCTAAATCTTTCAGAGGACTTTTCAAGTAAGCCAGAGAGACATGAGAAGGAGCATTGTCATCTCTGGCTTCCTGATGAGCTACCTCTGTTCAAATCCTTCACTTGGAGCAACCTTGACAGCAAACAGAGGAACCTATCCCAGTGAAACAAAAGCCTAGATCAATTGGGAAATAGGCAAGATAGCTGCAGAGAGAAGAAAACATTGAGCCAAGAAACCCAGGTTTCCTGTGTGCTCTGGCCAAGAAGAGATTATCTAATGAGGTTCCATGTGTTATGTCACCTAAACCTTGGGGAAGTCTGCATAAGAAGAGATTCTACTGTCTGAAGAGCTTGAGGGTCAGCAGTAGCTTTCCCAGGTATCTTTCTATTCCTATTTATGGGCTTAGGACTGCTCAAGCTTTGGGAGCACAGCACAAGCTCTTTAGTCATTCGCATGTAGCAGAGGGATGGCTGCTTTAGCATCTCAGAGCAAGGCACCGGACAGATATGTCCTGAAAGGCTGTGCAGCACCTGACCAGGCCAGTGAAATGAAGGGTGAGAGAGAATTGTAATTCATCAGGGAGTAAAACTTCAGATAAGAGGAGGACCTGGTTAAACAAGGAGATAATCTTTGGCAGCAGAAATTGGAAACCTAAGCTGTTCCCAGCTTTCAGCTCAATCTGCTGTGGTCAGCTCAATCTAAGTGGTCTTACACGAGAAGCTGGAAAGGAAAAAATTCAAGCTGTTTTTATGAAGGAATTTAAATTTGGGAAAGAGATTATCTGACATGCAGCTAGTGGAGACTTGAAGACTTGGCAGACCTTTCCCAGTCCTCTGTCCTCTCTTTCAGCCCTCTGTTTTATTGCTCTTTTGTTGCCTGGTCCTGTTCACAGTGTACTCCAACCATTGTAATGTTCAACAGCTACTGTATGGCTCTTACGCTTACAAGGTTTTTATCCTCATCCTTTCCCTTACCTGCTACTGAAACTTCACGGCACCTGACAAGGTCACTTTTGTTGCCAACCAAAATAATGGGAATATCTTCTCTCTGCCGAGCCCTGCGGAGCTGTATTCTGAGTTCAGAAGCTTTTTCAAAGCTTGCTCGGTCTGTGATGGAGTAGACAATCAAGTAGGCATCTCCCACTTTCATGCAGTGGTCTCGAATCCATTCTCCTTCACGCTGTTCAAAGCAAACAGTCAGACATCATTATGCCCAGGGCAGATTTTGCTTAGAAAATATAACATTGGAGAATCTAAACACATTCCTGCTGTAACTGCACTGGATATGGTTTGAATCACAGTCGTACTAAAAGCAATTCCAAAGCGGTGACCACATGAATACTTCAGCATAAAGGAGGGTGAAATTTGGCCCTGATAATTCATTATACTGGATTTAGATCGGAATGAACAGTGTTTAGAACATGGCTTGAATGTTTTGTTTTTTCATTAAAAAAATAAAGAAGGTTTGCTCTTCTCAGCCTCACACTACAGTCGTTATGCATGCTTGGTTTGCTATGGGGAGGATATTGATGCTGTGTTTTCCCTGATGCTGAAGTATAGAAAGACATATTTTCTTTCCCAAAAGATAACTATTTTTTATACTAGCCCTCATTCATATGTACTTTTGTTTTGGCATTTGACTAGTATATACAAATAAATGTCGTACCTTGTTATCCCACATGTCGAGCAGTACAATCGTTGCACTCTCCCCATCCACCATCAGGGTTCTTTCATATGTGTCTTCTGTAAGAAAAAAATAGAAACATTGGTAACATATTATTTTGTGACATCACGTACATTATGAAAAAAAAAACACAAATAGCTTACTAAGTATAATTTTTTCACAGTTCAAGTTAGTGAGCCAAGTTTTGTGCTGGCTCATGTTCAGTTCTTTCCACATTTCCATCAGCACTAAACCTGCCTTCTGTTCATTACTGGTTGTCTTACTTTCCATGATATATGAAGGAGACAGAAAGATCAGAAAAGGAGATGTTCATTATTTTGGTTGATATTTTCTTTATCTTATGTGAGACAGAAAATAGAACCAGTGGAAGAAATAACCAAAGGCTGAACATTTGCCCCACGGGAGTAGCAGAGTCCAGTGAGGCTGAGTAATGGAAAATATTTGCTTTCACTTTAGCAGGGACAGTTCACGGGTGAACAGACACTGCAGTTGAGAGCAATACAGCTAACAGCCCACCAAGCAAAGAGGGCAGTTTGTGAGGCAGGAGCAGTTGAGTTTTAGAGACTGAAATGACTGCTGCATCCCATTTCACAGTTTCCAACATTACCTTTGATGTCAAAAAGAAAAGCAATCAACAAACCACAGCAGTATTTATTTTGTACTGAAACCAAAAGGACCCATATCTAGATTATAAATACCACATTACTAAGTTCTGCCTAGATCTGGAGATCTGTTCCCACTCAATCACAATGAATCCTTGCTGTGAAATTCTCAGTCTAGTTTCCTCTTCAAATACTAATCCTTCTTCCCCCCAGATCCAAGAGCATTTGGATGAGCAGTATGAGGCTTGAATCCCTCTCTAGTCTTGTGTTCCAACCAGTGAACGATGCTGGGCTTAGGGCTTCTCAGTGTACTGCATCTTTCCATGCACTGTGTAAGGAGTCTGTTCCAGCCATGCTTGTAGATAGGACCATGCCTTAACTCCTGCCTCATGCAGTTTCTTCTAGGTATTAGCAGAGTGAACTTTCCCCCAAACTATAATCACAGGCTTTCCTTGAAGCCAGGAATCCACAACCATGAAAAAGACTGAGTCAAAAAATGTCCTATATTTAAAATAAAATCAAACTTTGTAAACAAGAGCACAGGCTTGACACAGCTTAAAATGGAAGGATTCGAAGTACAAAGCTAATCAAGAGGAGCATCTGTATTCACGGGTTAGATGAATCTTATAGCTGGTTGCAAAACTAATCCCTCAGAGCAGCTGTTTTCCCTCTGTGAATTTGCTGTCCTGGAACCATCATCTCTTATTTCCAGTTTGTAAGCTCAAGTTTGGAAAATAGTTTCTTTGACTGATCAAGCACTGGCATGGGAACAAGATCCATCTGCATCAGAGGACAACATTTAGAGGACTACTTCTTTGTTCTCTGTGACACAGGGAGAGGCTGAGAAGTACATAACCACACTACTCGAAAATGTTCTGCCCCGATCAGAGAATCATAGAATCATAAGGAAGGGACTTCTAAGGGCCATCTGGTCCAACTCCCTTGCCATTAACAGGGACACCTACAGCTACATCAGGTTGGTCACAGCCCCATCCAGCCTGACCTTAGATGTCTCCAGGGACAGGGCATCTGCCACATCTCTAGGCAACCTGTTCCAGTGCCTCAGATGGTCATACTCAGAAATTATTTGCACTTTGGACAATCCAATGGGACTTCAATAGGATATAAAACAGACTGCAAGTGAGCAATTAGTTCATCTCATGCTTCATTTGAAGTTGATATTAAAATAGGAAAAAGAAAACAGCAGGTTTTCTGATACTTCCATAAACCTGGCCTTGAAAACTTGTCATGGCTACACTCCAAGCAGTATTGCTGAGAGTGCAAATGAAGGAAAAATCCATACTGTTTCCCATGAAGGAGAAGGAAACCATCTGACAAGGACGTGCAAAGCAAATCCTGGCATAAGAACAATAAAAGCTGTCCCATCCAAGCTCCACCGAAGGCTGGAAAAAAAAGCTCAGTAACACTCCATGCTAGCATGGGCACCAACACAATGGGAACAGATAGAGGAGTGTGTTGAACAGCAGTGTGTGTTGAATAGCAATAACAGCCAGAAGCTGGCAAGTGTTCCCAAGATGGCAGCACTTGTGTTCTTAGGACCACAGCAGGTTTCCATCACTGCATGACCCACAGCACCTTGCTCACACAGTATGCCTCATGGCTGGGTGCCACAGCCTCACCTTCTGCATTGACTTTGGCACTAAGTTTCAAAATCCTCACCAACACAGAGGAACATAAAATGAGGGGTAGACATATTTTGCTCAGACTCCCTACAGCCTATGCTGACACAATATATTTATACGTAAGGCTGAGATGACAGACAATGGCAAATGTTTGGGAGAATTGGATAGGGCTTTTTTATTTTTCATTACATGTTATTTCTGAGCACTACATTCTTGTGGACCACAGGGAAAGGTCCTAGTTTTTCTTTGCCCTGTAGAAAGCTGGCGATGGTCCTGTGGTGACTCAAGAGTTGGACTAGAATGAATACTGAATGGCAGCTTCCAACAGATTCTTTGAAACAAAAGAGCATTAGAATCTGTAATGTTCCCTTACAGAGGCTTTATGTTGTTGTTAGAGAGTATCATCCTCTTTGTAGCTTGTTTTGCTCATTCTTGTTTTCTTAAGAGAGATGCATGTGTTGGAATTGGTTTTGACAATCAGATCCAGATGTTTGCTACGTCAATTTTAGATTAAATGACCTTTCTGATTTTCCATGCCAGTTTCTACTGCCATGGCTGATGGCAAGCAAACGCAGACCCCAGAGCATAGTGACCTACCTCCCAGCACCTCGCAGTCACTGTCAATGCTGTCGTGTACCCCTGCAAAGATGTTGGCCAACGACGACTTGCCCACACCTTGCTCCCCTATCAGCACCACTCTGTAGCAGTTGCTGCAGGACTCAGAGGAGATGACAGAGTCAGATGACTCCGAGGACCAGCTTCTTCTGTAGTATTCGTCAGGGCTGATGGTGTATCGCTTCTGCGCGTTGTACTCATTGGAGTCCTTCTGGACCAGCAGGTTCTTCCCATCAGCAGGGATGCTCCATCGCTGCTGTTGCTGCTGCAGGCTGCTGTGGTGGGTGCGACGCATGGTAACGTTGTTGAGGGTCATTTTTTTACCCCTGCTGAGAAATATGGAAGCCACACACTTTATCCACAAAATTCTTACAAATGCACCAACACCTTATTAACTCAAAGCAGTTGGTCCTGCTCTTCTACAGGGTTCCAGTATGCAACAATAACAAAAAAGGAGACTTCACACTCTTTTGCAGTTGCTAATACACAAAGAAATATTTCTAGCTAGTGAGTCAGAGGCTTTTTCCTAGGGATGATACCACCCCCATACACTAATCCTATCCGTCTTTCTTTAGCCTGTACACGCTTCCTGCAATGCTAAGTGCCTGGGCAGGGAAGCACTCAGCAAAGCTCACACAAGGCTGTATCCCCGTCAAGAGATGGGCAGCACCTGCAGGCACTGCTCTCTTCCCTCCTGCCTCCTGGTGCAAGCAGAGGGACTCATTGAACTCAAAACCTTACACAGCTCTCATTAGGAGAGGAAAGCCATGCAAGCAAGCACGTCTTTGGGTCTCATCTGGACGTGTCAGGACAAGCTTCAAACAATGCCTTTCTGTCTGCTAACAGGGACACAACCAAGTCAATGACTTTTTAGAGGAGGTATAGGTTCAAGCCACTAAAGAAGGTGGCACTGGCAGAAAGTTCATTTACAGATTTACAGATGCTTCATTTATTGCAACTACAGCAACTTCATTATTGCACAATTGGCTAACAGGTTAGCTCTTCCAAATTTAGCATGGCCCCTAATTACATTTAAATTAGCAAACTTAATTTTGCCTCGTTTGGAGGCAGAGCACAGTGATGTCATTCTCATGGACCACCAGCTACCATTTTTAGGAATGTTACTTTGATGCGTCCCAGTTCTCAGAGTGATGGTTATTCGGACATTTTGCTTTTTGGAGTATATCTGAATTTTATCAGCTCTCTTCTCCACGTCAGTATGCAGGAGAGCTGCCTATGAAATGAACTCTCAAACTTGAATAACAAGCGGTGAATGAAAATAAGCACAGCAACACATAAAAGCAACATGTACAAACCACTACTCCTTTTCACACAAGCTATCTGAAAACTTCTTAGAATGAATGTAGATCAGGCTGGAGAATAAGCAGACCAAAGCCACTTTCTATCTGAACATATTACTCTGTGACACACAGTGCTTAGTGGCAAAACTAGATTACTTGCACAGTCCCAGATGCAATAACTTTGCCAACAAGAAATACAACTGACAAGAAACTAGGCAGCAAGCAAAGCCCGCTTCACCAAGTCAAATATTAACCGCAGTTTTATTTACAATGCATTACTTTCTTTCAGCTTCCCCACTGAAAAGACCAGATGAGAAAAGGCAATTCCAAATCAGTTACACATCAGAGCCCAAATAAATGATGACTGCCAATAAACAATCACTGTCCCGGTCATGAACATATCATGATTTCTTCCCTAACAAGCTATCATCCTTCATTAAACAAACCCTAATGAGACAAACACTTCTAAGTCACCCCTGCACATCTCAGTCCAAGCCCAGGTTTGACGGCACGCACTGCACTTAGCTGTGTGGGTCTACAAAGCCACAACAAACCCACGGACACACAACCCAAGGCACTGTAGCCAGAGCAGCCTTACTTGTGTGCGTCCGTCTGCGCCGTCAGCTCCGGGTTCGTGCTGCTGTCTGCTCCGTGGGCTGTGCTACACTGAGCTGCTCTGCTGGAGTAAATCCCCTCCTGCTTACGGGCTGCCTCTTTAATTCCTTCTCAGCGAATCTGGTTTATATTAAGCCCATCTGATCAGAGACAGGGCTTTTCCGTGACGTGGTTGGCCTTTCCATCCAACAGCCAACCCCCAGCTGGGAGGGAGCAGACATGCAGAAAAGCAAAAACTCACAAACAGCCTCAAAAGACTTACTTGAAATCATATGATTGTCTTTGTGTTGCCAGTAAAATAAACACATTTGGGTCTTACATGAGGAAAACAGGCAAGTGGAAAAATTAAAAAAACCGTGCCCTTCCATCTCACTCAATTTTGCATTCAAATGCTAGTAGGATTAATGATGTTTTTAAAACTACATGTTTCCTTAATGCATTAAATGCAGCGAATGTGTAATGTTCTCTGTCTGCAAAATGCGTTTAACTCCCCACTGGACAAGATGTTTTTCTGGAACAAAATATCTGAATGTTATTTTAGAATTATCTCACAAGCATGAATATTATTCTGCTGGCTTTTTGTCTTTTAAAGGGATCCAAAACATACAATCCTATTTTCTCCGTCACCTTTCCAGTCACTGCCCAGACATCTCCCACCTCTTGCTGTAGCACTCCTGCAAGGGCTCAACAGCAGAACAGCTGCCCACAGACTGAGTGTTGCTCCAGCTGGACGCTGGCAAAGATGGATGTGAATTAGAGAGCACAGAGCCTGGGCAGTACAGCGCTGATTCCATCTGTAGTTTATTAGGAGAGATGGCTATATAGTGTATGTGCCACAAAGCATGAGCCTGCTCCTCAAATTGTGACATTTCTAACAATGTGTGTGGAAATTTCTTCTCGATTGACTGAGTGGAGTAATAAACCTCCACAAACCACTTGGTAGGGTTACCATCAGTTATATAGAAGTCTATGGAGAGCCCCTACTCTTTTTCCTTATTTTTGCATTTTCCTAGTTATTCTATTAGTCCCCTAAACATCCAGTGAGTGCCCTTCTCACTCTGCACTTAGAAAGTCTGAACAGCTTTGTTTCTGAGCTGGGAAAATAGCGTTTCATTTCATGATGGCTGCAGCCAAGCTTCAGCACCATTGCTGTGCAGGGTGGGACACCCTTTCCCCTGGTGTTGCCTGGCACTCATGTCACAGACTTCTGCATTTTCATGTCTTGCTTAAGCCTTGCCCAGTGTATTATATTTCCTGTGATAAAGAGGACCTTTATGAAATTCTTCCACTGAGATACGCCTGCTTTCTTTCCCCTTCAGCTTTGTTGCACTTCTGCATCTTTCATGAGGATTTTCAGGGATCTTTTGAGCCCATTCTCAAAGGGCCGAGAGCATTTCTCAAAGTCACGCACACTCACCTGTATGCAGAAATTACTTATTGAGATGTACTGGGTGGAGGCTTGAGCCAAACTGTGTCCTGATTTTGGATCACTTGTGTTCAGCAGTGACTGCCCTGGCCCCAAGCCCTGCACCTCTGCGTAGGATGCACACAGCGGCTGCTTGTGCTCACTGTACAGCACAGCAAAACACGGCACAGCCTCCGTCAGGGAATGTTTATGGCAAGGCCAGTGGCTCTCAAAACAGAGCACTTTGCTCTCGTGCTGTCAGTACACCAAGCTCTGAAGTTGCTCCTCCTTTTTACAAAATGTACAAAATGATGTAGGGGAGTGGATAGCTGCAGAGCTGCGTGCTGCACCCTCAAGGGGTTCAAGGTCTCTTTATGTTGCCTGCCACTTGTCACCTCCTATAGAAACGCAAAACCTGTCCATCACAGGGCTGCAGAGATTTATGGCAATATGGATGCCAGCAGAACTGTAGGCTCTAAAGTCTTACCCACGTGTTTAACTTGTATTATGGCAGAAAGCACAGACAGCGGAAATAAATCGGTCAGAAAAGGCTTTGCATTTAGTTACGGTTAGTGGTAGATCAGGAATTGTCAGACTTCACCTTGTGCATCATCTTCATAGAATTCAAGGTAAAGAAAACACAGCTCTCCAGGGATCCCACAATACATGCCCTATTTGCTTACCAGGGATAAGAGTAGGTTAATTAAAGAATCATGAACGGAGCCCTACCCAATAAAGCTGACCATGGGCTTGCATTTCCAAACCTGCACACTGATGCAGGGCTCTGTGATTCTGAACTGCTCTGACCTCTCACACTCTTTGCCCATCAACATTTCTGCAACAAAAACTGCCTGAGACACAGTGCAAGAAGAGAATAACCATAAGGCCAGGTGCTGTCGTAAAAACACGAGGGCTTGGATGCTTCTGGCTGGTGCAGTATTAAACTGAGAGTGATCTCATGTTTGAATATTATCCGTTCTGTGCTTCAATAATCATGTCTTAAAGGAATGCTCTCTGCAGGAAGAAGTAAACTTCACACTGCCATCTCTCTTTGGCCACTCACAGTTTGACCAGGTGGTGCTTGTTGCAATTAGGCAGGAATCCATCAAATATAAAACAGGAGTGCTTTATAGCTAGTACTTAACTAGCTATTTTGCATTTATGTACATGAAGGCAAAAGTAGCTCCTTGAATCACCATCTAGTGTGAGGGTGGTGCTTAGAGTAGGTCTGAATCAGTTTGGAGGAGGAAAATGCAAGGGGGGAAAATGTTTAGAAAAGCAAGAAGAGCAAAATTCAGATTTATTTTACCAGAAACTGAGTGCTGTGTCTAAAGTACACTTGTTCCCTATAATTCAACAGAAGAGTGTATCTTCATTTTTTCCTTTTTTCCCTTTAGAGGACCTGGTATAGCAGACCACATTCCTACTAGTTAGTTGTTAGTTGCAAAGACAATGGATCCACCCTCCTTCCCTCCACATCATAGCAGTGTGTTACATTTTTCTGCACTTCTCACATCCATCAGTGTTGACCGGTCTCTTGGAAACTCTCAGTCCCTCAGTAGCACAAGCTACCAGCCCTGCAACGGACAGAAATGTTTTGGGGCATAGGCATGATGCTGGGCAGGACAGTGCAGAGCCGATAGGTACCCACAGCTACTGCAAGGCTCATGTACCTGATCCCGTGTCACCATCCATGTCTGCAGCACAGGCAGCCACAAGCAGCTCACTGAGCAACCGTCATAAAAAAGGAAAAAATATAGCAAAGCTGACTTAGATCCACAGAAATGGGACTGATGGCTTATGTACAGCAGCTCATGCCTCCAGCTTTGCCTTTGGCTTTCCTGCTTCAGTCCAATGACTGGGTGAGAAGTTTCACACCAGGTGAGAGAGGTAGCATAAGAAAGTATGCTGAAATTGGAGGTATGAGGAAGATAAATTAAGAATTGCCTGGGGAGAACTGCTGCGGATCTGAAATGGAAAATGGGAGAAAAACTCAGAAATTAAGGGATAATAAAACTTGATTTACTTAACGGGAAACAGGATCAAAGAAGTATGTTCCTGAAAGTGCTCCCCAACTCAAAAATGCTTAACAAAAGAGCCATTGCACCACAGAGGAGCAGACTTGGTAGCTTGCAAAGGGTGCTGAATTTGTTCTGTCAACTTCTTTTCTCCTACACCACAGCAGATTTTTACAGTCCTACAAATGATCACTAAAAAAAGAACACAATCCTCTGGTGATGGAGCACAAGGACGGGGAGGATCCCCAATATGTTCTTGTGTGCAAGAAAGCAGTAAGGCTGGCATTAGAGCTGCCAGGGAATAGGATTGCCTTTAATCAGTTGCCTCATTAGGAAACCCCTCTTTAGTCTATTACTTGCAGATAATCTGGATTCTGATGTACCAAAAGGGAGGTGTGCTCCATATCCGTGCTCAGCAGAGCTTTTATAACTGCAATTGGTGACCAAAAGGTATTTTCTCATTAATGCATGAAAGTGGCACAATTGAAATACCAAGCAAAGAGTGAAAAATAAGCAGCCAAAGAAAGCAGTGCAGATAGGTTCATAATAAAAAACAAGTTGCTTTTTAGTCTCGTTAACTGGAGAGAATAAAAAGCACAACAGCAACAGTTAAAGCGAGTGTCAGCTGTAGAAAAAAAAAGGCAACAATAACAAAGAACAAATTGTGAAAGTGAATCATTTCAGTAAGTTAGAAAAAGGAGGGCTTATTTCCCACCCATGCTTTCAGTGACGTTAAAGAATTCTCCTGATAACTGTCCAGGGAACGGGATGAAGTCATGCTTGACATAAATACATTTGCTTTTCAATTGGAATCAATGCAAATAAAACAAATTCATGAAATACTAATAATAGAAGGATGTGATTTAGCCATAAATGTTCCTCGAATACAGAGCTAAAAAAGTCTTCAGAGTAGTGGTACCAGCATAGACTGTTTCTGCAGTAGGGATCTTTGTGGCACATCACAGTCCACAGCTGAGTCTGGCTCAAAGTAATGGTCTCCACTTCAGATGCTGGAGCCACGTTATTCCATAACAAATGCCTCTCGCTTTTACAGTAGAAAATCATGGTGATATTTAATGATTGGTAATTATGTGCCATGCAAACCATAGGTTGGAAACTTCATCAGAATAGACTGGGCTTCTGATCATTGGAACTGCTGAATAGAAATCCACAAAAAGCTCTTTTGATCCAACCACAAGTGCAACCAACAATAATTACTGAGATTCAGGGCAGCTGGGTGATACTGTCTGAACTTCCACAGAAATATGAAGAAAGGACTCAAAAGCCTGACGGTACTTCAGAAACTTTCCACATGACGTCAGTTCTTGACTTTCAGGTCCCCAAGCTCAACATTTGACAAAAAACAGGGCTATATGATCAGAGGCCTCCCCGCATTTGGTCCCTCACTTTCCAGGGAGGTTTGCTCCAACTATCATCACTGCCTGTCAGCTTTTATTGCCATTTTCTCCTATTCTCCATGCATGGGCACACATTCACCAGCTATCATCCACCAGTCTCCTTTCTGATTGTGTTTATCTACATGATAACTCTGCCTAGAGCGGGAAAGGAGCCTCATTTCCCATGCTTGCTGGTTTGCTTTGCTTTACAACCCACATAAACATTGGATTGTGAAACTCCTTCTGGTTTCTTGCCAGTGAAGCCCGTTATCTGGGTGCAGG